ATACTATGTCTACAAGGAACAAAAACACAGGGTAGGGGGACAGAGAGCAGGAAGGCGAAAGGGGATCTTATTTTATGTGGTGGTGGTCAGAGAAGGTCTCTCGGTGAGAGGATATTTGGGCAGAGATCTATAGGGAGTGGGTCCTTGCAGGTGCCTAGAAGAGCATCTGGGAGGAGGGATGTGCAATGGTGGAGCTTTTATGGGGTGTTTGAAAAAGAGCAGGAGGTCAGCGTGGCTGAAACAGAGTGAGTGAGAGGGCAAAGACAGCAGATGAGGTCAAGAGGGTAGCAGGGACTCAAGGCAGGCAGGGCCCTGGAAAGGGTTTTAGCTTTCGCTTTGATTTTAGGAAGCTTTCCTAAAAAGCTGGCTTGTGTTTTCAAACAATGGTTCTCAGATTTGAGCACATATCACCTGAAGGGAACACAGACACACAGACTTCTGGACAGAGGACGGGGACGGGCTCTTTGGTTTTTCACCAAGTGCCTTTCGTTGATTCCGATACCTGCCAAAGTTTTAGAACCACTGTTTGAAAAGATTTAGTCTAGCCGCTGGAGGGAGAAGGGACTCTAGGTGGCCCAGTGCAGAGGCATTTTGTCCAGATGGCGGCGGCTGCAATAATCCAGCCAATGGAACTGACCATAGCCAGGACCTAGGCGGTAGCAGTGAAGGTGATAATAAATGCTCCGATGCTGGATATATTTTGAAAGTAGAGTCATCAGAAGTTGCTAGTGAACTGGGTGGGGATGGATGAAAAGAAGAAAAGCAAGAGGAATGTCTCCAAGGTTGCTGTCCTGAGCACTCTTTCTGTTCGCTGAGATAGGGAAGATGGACATGGGAGAGAGGTTGGCTGGGAGCGGCAGCCGCAGAGCAAGAGTTTGGTTTGGGTAAGAGTTTGGTGTTCGGTTTTGGGGAGCTTATTGGGCAAGTAAACGAAGAGATTAAATAGACAGATGGATATACGTTTGGAGTTCAAGAGAGCTCTGAGATGGAATAGCCATTTGGAATTTATCAGCATAAGGATGGCATTTAAAACCATGAGGCTGGATGGGCTCACCCAGGAAGCGGATATAAGGAGAGAACCAAAGTGGGTAGAGGTGGAGAAGTGGGTCCTGGGGCATCCCAATGTATAGAGGTCAACTGGATGGGGAGAATCCAGCCAAATGATGTCCCAAGAGGCAAATGGAGAAAGTGTTTCTGGGAGGGAGCGTCCAGTGGCATCAAATGCTGTGGATGGGGGGACAGAAATGAAGGCCTGATTGGAGTGAGTTCAAGGGAGGAGGAGGATGTTGACCTGTCGTCTCTGTCAACGAGCCAGCCCTGTCTCCCTGTGACTTGGGTAATGACCTTTCCAGCTGCAGCTGTAGTTCAAAATTAAATCAAGGCAGCAAAGACTTGGGAAAGTTAAACTGGGAAATCCTGTCAAGCCATGTGTGTATGGTACCTTGTTTGACCTGGACTGTTTCCAGAGGGCAATTCTCCAAGGAGCAAGGTTCTTCTGGGAGGTGATGTTGGGGGTGGGGACGGGCAGGTGGTCCCTGGGAGGGGGGTGGGGGGACAGGCACCTGTGGTACAGATTCCATGGAACGCAAATTCCCCTATTGAAATAAGTGGGCCCCTGAATGCCTATAATCTGGTTCCACTGTTCACCTCTGCTAGCAGGGCAGATACAAAGAGGTTAGCCTTCAGGAATAAGGGCAAAATCAATCCAGTGGGGCTTCCTACAGTTCATTCATTCATTAGCTCATTCACTCAACAAATCCTATGTTGCGTGCATCTGTGTTGCTTGACTTCACACTTGATATTGATGTTCAAATAGGGACTACAGTAGAGTTCTTCTCAGCCCTGACAGCCTATGATGTTTCAGAGAGCATCAGAAGTAATAAGCAAGTAAGTAAGTGTAACAATTACTGCCTATGATAAGTGTGACAGAGGAAATGGAGTCCAGTGAGTGAGAATAACCAAGGGAGCTATGGAAGATGGGGTGCTGGGAGGCCTGAGAACGAACCAGCCATGTGTAGTAGGAGTGGGGTGAAGCTGATGGAAGTGTTTTAGGGAGGAAAACCAGAAAGCTCAAAGGTTACTAGGTAAAGGGACCTTGGCCCATTCAAGGACAGGAAAGGCAGGAGATGGACAGGACGGGAAACCGGGATACAATTATCAAAGGCTCTGCATATCATGATGAAGAGACTGGGTCTTACTGTCCAGTGCAGCAGTGAAATATGGGAAGGTGGTACTCAGGAGAGAGACACGAACTAATGAAAACTTCTAAGTGATTTAGGGAAAGTGTTCAGGAACAATGGTCATGAGAACTCAGGGAGATTCAGGAACCTTTGTAACTCCATCAGGTTTTTGCTGTTCTGCATTTTCCCATAGCAACGAGATGCAAAAACACTAATACAAAGTAAGGTGGCAACTCAGGAGATAGACAGTGAGAGACACACACAGACACGCACACATCCAAGTGCTTGCCTAAAGACCCTGTCAGCTCCCAGCAACCCATTCGCCCTTTGCATACCTGCATACACACACACACACACACACACACACACACACACACACGTGTAGCTCCTCCACCTACAAAGACATAGATGCATGATGCTATTTGCATTGGCCACCAGAAGCTCCTGAGTCCACTCTCCATTGTCAATAAAATCTTCTCAGCACATTCTTATCTCTCCATCAAGACAACATTAGAGTGCCATTTGAGGGTCAACGATTAACAAATAGGTTCAACTTATTTTTATCCTTCATTATACCACAACCCTGCGTTGTGAATACCTCAGCGATCAGGCATTTCCTGATTACTTACACATAATAGTGAACCATGAATTGCACTCTCCTCGCTCAGCGCTGACTTCCTGCTGTCACCTTTTCTCATTTAATCCTCACAGGAAAACAAGAGAGGTTGGCAGTGCCCAATTGACAGCTAAATAATTGCCTGGCTGTCTTTCCAGGAAAACTACTTCCTGTGCACGTCAAGTTGTTTAAAAATTAGGAGCAACAGCTCTTGACGATGCTCCTTGTGTTTCCACGTGTGTGTTCCTTGGCACACCTCAAGTCAACCGACAAATATGATGATGACGACAGTGCCATTTCTGCAGCTGTCTTTCACATATTATCTTATTTAATCCATAACATGACCTTTAAGACTAGGTATTATTCCTATTCTACAGATGAGAGAGCTGAGACTCAGTGGAACCCACCAGCCTCCTCCAAGCTCTGCCCTTGACCATCATCTTATGTTGTTTCTCATTAGCGTTCTCTTCCTAAATGACTAAAGGTGTGTTTCATTTTGTGTGTGTGTGTGTATTTGTTTGTGCCTAGCATGAGGACACTTAGTATATGTCAGTGAGTGGGCCCCAATACTGATCAATGATCTTTTACAAATTGTATCTAGACCAACACTTTTTGACTCTGATGAAATAAAACTCAAGAGTCATAAAGATCATGTATACAAACACCACATGTGTTATTGTAGCTGGCCTTGTTGGGAACTAGAAAACCCTGTGTCTCTAGTTTTCTGAGACTTCTAAAACACACAAATATTTGGCAACTTGTCCTCCAATGGCCAGGCTGTAGTCATCTCCAGGAGAGTCTGGGTTCTCGCTCACCCAGCATCCTGGTTAACTGAAAACTACCATTTGTTTGCTTCTGTACGAGTCCCGTGATCTTTGAAATTCCTCCTTAAAAATTGATTTCAGTCTGTGAAGCGACAACCTGGCTCCTTAGGCTTCCCAGCTCCTCGGATCCCCCAGAAATGGAAGCTTGCTCTATCGCAGAGTTATTTTTACTCCGTTTTCTTCTGGCTTTGAAAGGCCTGTGGATTCTTCACAGAGGTTTTTTGAGGTGCTGGTATGCCAGTCAAGGAGGGAGGGAAAACACCACTCTAGTGGGCAAGATTTGATTTTTCTAGTAATGGCTTAAAGGCCAAAGTAGGCCCACGCCTGTTTCTAAATCAATCCTTGGAATTCTCCATTTGGTTTTCCAGATGTGCCTGAGAGGGCACAAACCCTCCAGGCTTGTGTTTGGTTTTATTTCTTGCGTTTGTTTTAGAGTTATTCTTCCTCCTAGAGCTGAGGCCGAGGTAATGTGCGTACCTTTGATGAACATTCCATATCCAGCTTGGCAACCTGTGGACAGAATGCCGCCTGATGTAAAGTGAGGGGCCCAAGATACGCACACTGGGAAACATCCAGATTTCGGAACCAAAAATAAGAACATTCTTGGAAAACACTGTTAAAAAGAGCGAAGGCAGCTTGGGCTGGGTAACTCTATCGGAAATGCAAATGTTGTTTCCTGTCCAAAATACCTTGAGGTCCACTCCACATAATGCAAGCAATGTGAGTATTTCCTGCCCTCCTTCCTTTGCCAAAACGAATCCTTCTTCATCAGAAGTAGGGACCGAGCCCAGAAGCACCTTACGGATTTTCTGGGGGCTCTGGTGCTGCACAGCACTTAAAACAGTATAATGGTTTATCAACCCCCCGCCCCCCCACACATACACACACTTCTTTGACTGCATTCAACAAGCAGTTTACCTGCCAAAACCCAGCTAAAAATATCCTCCGCATCTGTAGCCCATCAGCCATCTTTGGCTGATTTGGGTGGGTAATTGACCTTTTGAGCAGGTGGAGAGCCAAAAATTTATTTTTTCCTGGATTGAGTCGAAGTTGACTTAAAACAGATGTTCCCCCGATGCAGATCTGATGTTTATAGTGGAAATACTATTGAGCACTGTTGAAGGGGCTGTTCAGACCCAGACGGAATGAGGGAGGCTGAGCGCACCGGGACTGAAGGGGTTAAGTCAAGCCACCTTTCTCCTCCGGGCTGAAAAACCAGGAGGTACTGCTGGAAATAGGAAAGGAAGCTGTCAGTTCGTATTTTCAGGTTTGCAGAAAAGCCTTTTTTTTTTCAATGTAAACATTCATTAAACTAATTTGAAGTTGTCATTACTCTCCACCCCTGCTGTTTTATATCAGATTATTCCTAAGTGCTTGGAGAAGAACCCCATAAAGCCACACTGGATTCCTCTGCAGGGGATAATCGCATAGTTTGCGCTGTGATTTACACCGCGTGGCACTGGGACGTGTCCTCAACTTCGAAAGGGCCTTGGTTCCCTGGCAAACAGTCACTGCCTTCCCCCCATGGAAATAAAATTCCAATAGTCCCTCCACGACTATTATGAGGTCCCCATTACCTTTTCTCCATCCAACTGAAGAAAATTAAAAGCAGTTCAAAGCACACGCCAGAAGGTATTGGGCATTTTATTAATAAATGAAGAACCAAGAAAACGCTATGTGCCATTATGGTTTTAAACCATAAGACACGCTGCTGCTGCTTTTGCGCTTTTCTTCTCTCCACCCCACCCCCAACCCCAACCCCCGCCCCATGTTCACTTTGGGGCAGCCAGGCGTTTTGTGCTCTGAGGTCAAATGAAGCAGAAGGGAGAGATCACTGTTGTGCCTCCCGGCTGAAGCCCTGGCTTGAAGGGCATCAGGGAATACCCTCCTCCCCTTGGAGGAAATGGTTCCAAGGCCAGGCTGGGAGGATGTGGGCATTAGAGGCAAAGGCTCGAGTCTGAATTCCAGCTTTGCCAATAATACAGGGTAGGATAAGATACCAATAAGATAGCCACCCTCTGTTACCACACGTCCATGCAGTAGGAAAAACGATACCTACTATGGAAGGCTGCTTTGAACTTGACCGGAGACTGTGAATATCCCCAAAGAACCAGCACAGTGCCTGCCAGAGAGGTGTATCAGCTTATGATCCGTACTGCTATTAATATGCTCAAAGCCATGATACTGATGCTAAGAGAAGTAGCCCTGAGCAAAATTAGGATGTGGACAGTTTGTTTTTAGTGTAGCTATAACTTCTGCTTCTGTTTCTCCCCACCCCGTTGTGGGCTCCTCACTCCTAGGAACCCAGGCCATCATGGATTCATGCCCACAGAGCCCCAGTCGTACCTGTCCTCTCACCCAACCTCCCAGAGTCTTGCTTTCTAGATAAGCTAACTCTTGTCTGAGCATCAACAGCCACTAGTCACTGAATGTGTTTCCCCACAGGTAAAATTTTCATTTTTTTTAAGAGATTCAAATGCTTTAAACTAGGGATGGCCAATGCTTGGTATATATAACCCTCTCGTGCTCAGTGCAGGCATTCTAAATTGATCATGGCATGCGATCCCTTGGAAGTCAGACAGGGTTCCCGAGTCCTCGTTAACATTTCTGGCTGTCAAGGCAGGCCCTGCATGTGGCACACAAAATAAAACCCATTTCTGCCTTAACCTAAAGGAATAATGAACGATTCTGAACACCATGGCAACTTGATGGACTTCCCTTGCAGCCAAGAGGCACGTCCCCAGGGAGGCTGTGCAGTGTCAGAGTTTGTAAGTCTGAATCCCACCAGTCTATGTGCTCTGCCATTTACCAGCTGTGTGACATTCAGCAGACTCCTTAGCCTCTCTGTGCTTGTCCTCTCATTGGTAAAATAGTAATACCTATTTCACAGTGTTTGTGAGTGGATGGAAGTTCTTAGAATGGTCCTTTTCACACAATAAGCATTGATAAACCAATGTTAATTGTGATCATTTTTGGCCACTACACTTCAAAGGCACAGCTCACGGCCAGCTCCCTGAAGGCACTCACAGAGAGGCTGAGAATCTTAACGAATAGAAATAACATGGACTCGAATGCCAACGGCCTCGTTGGTACATTAAACAAAGATGAGATTGTAGGTCGGCCTGTAATTTAGTTTACAAAATGAGACTAGGAAATACTCCTCAGGTGCCCAGTTACCTCTGAAGAGGTTAAGACATTTTCACTGCATTCTTTTTGGTTTGCCAAGCCCTTAGAAAGGAGGGAGTCATTCTACTATTTATTACCAGTCAGTGCTGGCCAGACATAATGAGATTCCACTAAGCACAAATTGAAATCATCCAGGCTGCACCAGCCGTAACTTGAGCCTTCCACCTAATTGCAGGGGCGATGCGAAGCAGGGGCATCCACCACCCATACCATCACTTTAGTTTTCTAGGTCCTCACCCATTGACAAGCGGTGGCCAAAAGTCTCAGCAGAGAGGGAACTGTGCTGTGAAATTCACGCCAGTCTGTACTCACAATGCACCAGGCGGAATTAGCACTGCAGTTTTCTGCATTTTCCAAAACTATTTTTGGAAATTACTGCAGCTAGGATCTCACCAAGTTCAAGGAAATGAACTCGCAGAGAAATCAGGCTTTGTTTTGTTTTTATTTCATTTTTTCTCCCCAAGTATAGGTGAAGACGGGGGGTAGTGGACAGAGAAACAATGATGGATTAGATGCACATCTGGTTTGTATCCAGAAATATAATCAGTTTGAGCCTGTTTGGCCTCAGTTATTTATCAGCTTTGTAACAAAAAAGAAAAGAAAATGGAACCTGTTCAATAAAGAATTGCCAAGGACAAACTTTAAATGAATGAACTCTCAGTGTACCAAAACATTTCTGGGAGAAAAGAAACTTAACATGATACATTATGAACGATGTTAATAAAGCTATTTTTGGGTGCGTGAACCAGTCCAAAGTATTTTTAAGCAGCAAAAAGATAATGTCTTCGATAAGTGTGGTAAAATTACTAAGAGAACAACTTTTTAAAAGGTTTCAAGCTTTCTCATTTTTCAAGGTCTCCATAGCTTTGCTTGATAAAACGATCGGGATGTGATGGGAAATTCTCAAATACTGTTTTGAGTTTCTACTTTCTACATTGCAGGTGTTAAGCTCAAACCCGTATCAGTGAGCTGGTAGTTAAAGTATTTGAGAACAGGTAGTTGACAGCATAGTTAATGTTCTCCCTTTAGCAATTACACACTAGATTAAGGATTTCAGCGTGAGGGTGTCTTTTATGTTGCATTTTATGGTTAAACGGTGCATTTCAGGATGACAACAAACTGTAACAGCATATTCATGTAGTTTTAGGATGAAATCAATTTCTTGCAAACACAATTATTGTTACACAATTCTCCCACCTGTTTATGATTCCTGTGAATTAAATTAAAATGCTATTTCACATTAATTTAAAATGTCATTTTCAAAAGAAGACATTTCCGATAAAGCTCAACACTGATAACAATCTCCAGAAGTCAGAGTATTATTGACAAGAAGCTATAAATCTGGTCAATAGCCATTGTTTTACTTTTAAATAAGGTTTAAGGGGCTATGGCCACCTTCAATGCTCAAGGTCTCCAGGTTTCGATATGTCCAAAGTGCGCAGAGAAGAATAAGCCTTTCTCCAGTTGTTCTACTCTCTCTCTCCTTCATTCCTTTCTTCCTTCCTCCCTCCCTATGATGAGCCGTCACTATGCTCATCATCACTCATTTTTTTAAAAATTAAATTTATTGCAGTGACATTGGGTAGTAAAATTACATAGGTTTCAAGTATACAGCTCTATCACATATCATCTATATATTGCATTGTGTGTTCACCAGCCCCAAATCAAATCTCCTTCTGCCACCATATATTTGACCCCGTTTACCCTTTTCTACCATGCCCCTCCCCCCTTACCTCTGGTAACCACTAAACTATTTTCTGTGTCTATGAGTTTTGGTTTGTTGTGTTTGTTTGTTGCTTTCTGTTTTATATCTCACATGATTCTCGACTTTTTCTGTCTGACTTATTTCGCTTAGCATGATATTCTCAAGGTCCATCCATGACGCAAACGGCAGTATTTTATCTTTTCTTATGGGCGAGTAGTATTCCGTTGCATATAGGTACCACATCTTCTTTATCCAATCATCTATCGAAGGACACTTTGGTTGTTTCCATGTCTTGGCCACTGTGAATAATGCTGCAATGGACATCAGAGTACATATATCTTTACGGATAAATGTTTTCAGATTTTTGGGGGTAGATACCCAGGAGAGGGATTGCTGGGTCATATGATAATTCTATTCTTAATTTTTTTAGGAAACTCCATACTGTTTTCCATAGTGGGTGTACCAATTTACATTCCCACCAGCAGTGTATGAGGGTTCCTTTTTCTCCACAGCCTCTCAGACACTTGTTATTACTTGTTGTTGTTGTTAATCGCCATTCTAACAAGTGTGAGATGATAATCACTCATTTCCAATGAATAGTAAACCTAACACTAATTACCCAACATTTCCTAAGCCAAACAGGATACTAAGGGCAAATTGTTTTATCCTCACAGCGATTCTGGAAACTACACATTATTTTTTTCTGCCATTTTACTTGGAGCAAATAGAGGCTTAGCGATGTGAGGTAAGTTGCCCAGCATCACACAGCTTGTAGGAGAGGCAGCACTTACATATGCTTGGTTCTGTCTATTTAAGCACTTACTTACTCTATCTTGGAACTGCACCAAGTGAAGAAGAAGGTATACAACAATTTAATGAGGTCTATTTCCTACCCTGGCTAAGCTCACAGATCAATGTGGACAAGAGAGATGTTTTCAAACATCGCTTTTTTGCAGAGTGAGATTTGCGATCACTATGTGAATAGCATCACGAAAATGAGTAAGAGCCAGACATGGGGCAGGTGCAAAATGCAATTTGAATAGCCTGGTCATTTCTAATGATGACGTAGCTGTATTTCGAATAACATGGGAGATATCCATGCCACGCTAAGGACATAGCAAGAATTCAGATGATGAAACAGGTGAGAAACTTAGTAAGTTCCTTGGTAAGACCTCTGGGCTAGGGTTGAGCTGGGATTCAAGGCCAGGTCCTCCGACACTGACTCCTGCCACAGTGTCTCCTGCCTCATCTAGTCTGAGCTCCCTCCATGGGAATGTAAACCATGGATTAGCTTGTAACACCTCAGCAGGCTTGTTCCTCTGGTTCCTATTTAGCAG